ATAGGTATTTAAACCACAACAAACTTTTGGGAGCCGAAAGTTTATCTCTTCTAAGTGTATTGTTTTTAATTTCTACAATTGTAATTTTATTGTGCAGTTCTGATACCTCCTACATACACTGACCTCATTTAAATTACACAAAAAAGGATCACAGATACACATCTGCTTTTTTAAGTCACTGTTCAGATAATGAGACTAAATTTAGATGATGTGTTATACAACTAGTAGTAGTGGTGATTGTGGATAAAAAAGTTTATTTTTAGTTGTGAACTTGAACCGTTAACGTTAATCTGGTATGTATTCGTATAACGTATTTTTCAAATGCACGATGAAAAGTGAATGTCGCTAAGTTAACGATAGATAATAATAGAGTAGGTGTAATTCTTACATTAGTGTATCTAGTTAATTTTAATTTGTATGTAAATTTTTTAAATAACCACAATAAGTAAACGCTTATCAGCTTTCTCTAACAGTAATAAATCAAGTGTTCAGTTTGGATACATTAATGTGAGTGCCCTTGGTAAATTGTGCTAAAATGAAAATTATTAGACTAACTATCCAAATAAATTTACCTATGTGGCTTGTAGACGTAGTATTATTGTAAATGAAAGCAATTGGGATTTGGAGTTGCATTCACAATAATTACATGTGATTTTTATTTCAAGGGTTAACAATAATTACAGTTGACCAGCAAGCTATACCAAATTAAACATAACAACCACTTCTGCAAAAAGAACCTTACAAATTCGCATGTTAGGGACGAACCACCCTTCAACGATAGGGGTAGAATTCCCACCGAAGTTGATGCATAAATTATTACTTCTAGACATGATACCTTTTCCACTCAAGGTCCACTGAAACCGACGCGGGAATGCGGGAACGGGAGCGGTACGAACGCGGGAATTATTTCTACAGGGGGAACCGCCGCGCCGCATCGGTATGCATACTTGCAAATCTCGCTGCACAAATATATCCCGTAAAGTCAATGGCCCGTATGAATAAAAGTAAGCAAATGCTTATACTTGAAAAATTCTAAGTAAATACTCGTAAGTGCTCCTTCGTACTAGGCGACTTAGCAGCGCTGCTAAGCAGGACAGGACGCAGTGCAGCGCTGCTAAACAAACCAGTATAAAGGGGCACTTACGAGTATTTACTTTGAATTTTGCAAGTATAAGCATTTGCTTATTTTTATTCATACGGGCCAATATATTAGTCGAGGATTCAAGCCCCATCCCCATGTAGGTATAACCAAAAGCCCTTCTACAGTCTTAGTCTGTAAACATAGTGAACCCTTTAGTTTCCGAATTTGAAATATCTGTTTTGACAGTTTTTATTACTTCTTGCGCGATTTTATCAAAATTATTCCAACCTGTTACAAACATATTTACAGCATTTATAATTTTACCCCTATCTTTAAAGGGTAGATTCGTCGCTTTAGCATCTGAATCGGCAATATCTGTCTTGGCAGAAGTGTTTCTCAGTATTAAAGTCTTAACGTCACAACTCTACCAATATAGTTCGTCCCTAACATTCTAATTTGTAAGCTTCTTTTTGCAGAAGTGGTTGCTATGTTTAATATGAGTTTTTGAGGCCTGTTATAAGTCTCTGAAAATGTGAGTTACCGTTACTGATTTTTTCTATAAAGTATCCTGATACCTAGCGAAGGAGAAATCATCATGTCTGCCAGCGAGATCCCCTGGCTTAAGGCTGAGAGGGGCGGTCAAATAATGTCAAATTTTAATAACACTTCCGAATTTCCGACAATATTTCCCTCTAGCCCCTTTATTTTCAAGCCGACGCGAAAAGTGTATGAGGCTGTTTGTACTCCGTGATCTAAATCAACGTGTTTTATCATTCATTTAAGGGACTAAAGTGTCACTTTTTCTCCCGGAGGGAGAAAAAAGAGACGCGGGACAAAAAGTGGCAGTACACTCTGAATTGTCAAACACAATTTAATGATTAATGGTTATCTAACTTTATATGTACATTTATTCTTGTACCATATTTTACACTTATTATACCATTAACCATATATCTTTTTGAATTCGGGAGGTATATATATGGGGAGGGAGTAGGTTTCCGTATAGCTTGTTTTTCAGAGTGTTAAACGATCATTTCTACGCCATAGTTTTATTTATTTAAAAGCAAGTGTATTTTTTATTTATTTGTTTGGCCAGATACCATACAGAATGCAAGCATTCCAATTACATGGCGCTGGGATGCTGTACTTAAGCTAGAACTACTATACATAGAAATTACGATCTAACATGACTAATTATAAGTAATTCATTCAAAGAGCCGTAAAATATATCGATGTCTCTCTCACGGCACGTCTTATTATTATATTATTAGTATCTTGTACACAAAGGTAGCACAGGCTACTTCGCGTCGGATTTGTAGAATCTTTGAATCAAACTGACATTTATCATTATACGATCACAATTTGACATTACAAAGTATATTGACCATACAATCAAACAAATTTCTTCTTTCAAATTTGCACTTTAACATTGAAATTGCTGCAATGATTATTTGAGTACATAAAATAGCGTATATATCACAGGACTAAAATGCGTTCTAATCCCTCATCCGGCTGCTTTGTTGCCCTCGCCTACGTTTCGGGCAACAATCTGCACCCTCGGGATTCAAACACACACTTTAGTCCCTTGACATATAATATACTATTTTTGTACAGCTCATCAAGGCATTTTTTTGTATTTAACATTTTTCACTATGGGGCTTATTTTTTTACACACCAAAATCAGCTATGTAACGATAACTCGTGGTTACGTGTAACGAAGGCAGGAAATTACTACAATTAGGTTAAGACCCACGTTTCAACAGCTTTTTAAATCCCACCTTTACAACCCCTTATGTAAATTATCATTGAGTGACTCGATTTTTCTTCAGTAGCATTAGAGTTAATACTTTAACTTATCTTCTATTAGAAAAACTGTTAGTAAAAGCTGCAAAATGGTGGTCATTTTTTACTGCGTACACGTTAACAATTTGACCTTTGAACGAATCTCGTCCGGTCGGTATGGAGGTTGGAGCTTGCAAAAAATGCAAAATTTCTGAAACTTTGTTATGTTGTTCGGTGGTATTCAGTAGTACTGCACCTCATTTTTTCAACAAAACTGTTATAGGTGTTGCTAACTTCAGGGAGCCCAAAAAAACCTCAAAATTTCTGGACTTTTCTTATATTTTTGCTACCGACATACCCAATGATTTGTTTCCCAGACATAATATGATAAGGGATTTCACAGTACAAATATTGCATTGTGGTTACATCTCGGGTAAGGTATGGGTTGTAAGGAAGTACCAGGGGAAGTACCCATCAAATATCCAATAGCGTACCGTTTGCTGTAAAACTTCTTCCATTCTCCCTTCTCCAGCGTATTGCAGATATCCGTTAACGTTAATATTGGTTTCGTCACAAAAGTCCTCGTCTATTTTTTCGCCACGCATGGTTCGTGCATCATGGGTGGTAACGATTTGGTATAAAACATTTCGTTAGTCAGTCCAAAAGTGGTGTGAAGTTGGAACCGAAAACGAGTACCTACCCTGTACTTCAAAAAAGGGTGGACGTACTGGGTGATTTTTTCCTACCCTAACGACTGACACATAAAATTTCCATATTACCATAATATCTTTTTGCGAAAAATAAAGGTCATAATCAACATGTTCCTGAAGTTTTGTTTGGCGGAAATATTTTTTTATTTCCGCGATTCATATCTGATCTTTTATTTATTATGAATATATGGAGTGGGTCTGTATTTTCATTATATCGCAATTCGTTAGGTAGTAGCGTGATCAATAGCAAAATTTTAGGTTTAGAAGTTTTTCTCGATGTGATATGCAAAACAACCTATCTTTTTTAAAATACATTGGAAGAGTTCATAGTCATCCCAAAAACAAAACCCAACCCAGTCCCCAACCCCCTGTTTGGTACAATTATAAGTATTTGAGAAAATGTATTTCATTGACGACAAGGACTGAAGGGGATAGTAGGGGAGCTAACACGAAATCCACTGAACGAGAATGATCAAAATTTTAACCGATGGTGTTCCATTTTGCCCTATCAGAGTATGCTAAAATCGATCGTCTGCCGCCTCAGGTCATACGACTTAAGGCGCTGCGGGTACTTCTTGTGGTACCAATTCTGAAAGGTTGTTTTTCGAAAAAATAAGTTATATACCAAATGAAAACGTTGATAATAGCTCTTAAAAAAATATTTTAAAAAATCCCGCGTATTTGATAACTCCGTAAAAAAACAATTCTTAGTCGGTTTTTCACGAACTTTCTACGGATATAACTAGGTTACGGTGGGACGAATGAAGCTGATTTTTTTTACAGACTCATGATAGGTACTACTAATGACTTAACGGTGTTTCGTTTTTAAATTTTGTCTCTAATTACAAGATTATCTTATTAGCTTAACATTATAAGATATCTTATAATTAGAGAAAAAATTTACAAAAGAAACACTCTCATAGTCATTGGCTGTACCTATCATTAGTGGGTAAAAAAAAATCAGCTTCATTCTTCCAACGGTAACCTAGTTATATCCGTACAAAGTTCGTGAAAAACCGACTAAGAATTGTTTTTTTACGGAGTTATCAAATGTGCGCGATTTTTTTAAATATTTTTTTAAGAGCTATTATCAACGTGTTCATTTGGTGTATACCTTATTTTCTTGAAAAACAACCTTTCAGAATTGGTACCGCAAGAAGTACCCGCAGCGCCTTAAGTCGTATGACCTGAGGCGGCAGACGATCGATTTTAGCATACTCTGATAGGGCAAAATGGAACTCCATCGGTTAAAATTTTGATCATTCTCGTTCAGTTGATTTCGTGCTAGCTCCCCTACTAGGAAGCACTAAGCTGAAGGGAAGCTGGTTGGTTTTTCCCCTGTGATGTAAAAAAGCGGAATACTTCTAAAGTGATGTAAGATACAGGACCTGTTATTCATATTATATTTTCATACGTATAGGTACAGCACAGATAAAAAAATACTTTATTCTTGCATTTGTTCATTTTCATACTTTTCCAAGACAGCTCTAGTTAAAATACACCTTGTTTTAAAACATGTACAGTATTCGGGATGTACTACATCATCTGGATCCAACATTTCTACTTCAAGACCATACTTTCTATTGTTGTCAGGTGATCTTCTGATAGATATATCATACGCAATCGGTTGACCTCGCTCGACAGATATGTCTACAGGTAGCGCCACAACCGTTTGCTTCCAATGCGTTAAAGGTTCTTCGGCACTAGTGGACAACACTACTGGTTCACTAGTTAATGATGGAAAAGAACAAGTAAACCACAAGCAAATGCCTTGGTACCTTCCCGACTTATCTACAACCGCCAAATGTTGAATTTTGTTACAATTTACGTCATCCACAGTAGCTTCTCTTAAATCGATCCATAACAGAATTTCAGGTTCTGATAGTATATGTTCTGGTTTTACATTTAACAGTAGTGGCGAGCTCAATGAGTTATTTTGTAATCGTTTGCTAAAAGAAAGCATAGAAACACCGCTAACGTTTTTCCAATCCTCATTCAGTGAAGGTACCCTGAAAAAAAAGGCTGTGTGAAACAAAATGGCGTAGACATTATTACCGGCACGGAGAACAGTAAAGTGTCGCGTTTTCGGGAAACAAATATCCACCTGGGCGTAAAAATTTGTCTCTTGCCCGAATGACGGAATCTAACATACCTTCGTGAAGTAAAAAGTGGCCCATCCATTCCGATACAATAATATCAACTTTTCCATCCTCGGGTAAAGAAACGGTGTCAACATCGCCATGTATCACCTACAAATTCGGGTTAAAGAACAAAAACTGCCAACTACCAACCTTGATTATATCTTCGCATTTGTTTTCTTTAACAATTTCTTCGCTAATTTGATAAGTGTCACTCGCTTCAACTGCATAAACACGTTTGGCTCCAGCCTGCGCGCAGAAAACCGACAAAATTCCAGTTCCAGCGCCGACATCCAATACCGTCTGTCCAGAAAAAATGTCCTTGTTCCCAAGTATTGCTTGAAAATAAGCGGAGTTCCGAGCCGAGTCCTCTAGCATACACTTGTGAACCTAAAACAAACAGTTATTACGCTAATTGTAAAATGGAAAAATGTCAATGAATGGAATTTTTTAAACAGCCACTCATTTAACTAATTACTAAGTCGATAACGTATAGTGATTGTGTAATACGGATCATGGTTGAAATGCAGCGATCGTTTGGAGATCAAGTGAAACTATCAAAGTCGTACAATAACTAACTACAGTGTAGATTATCTGCGATTGAATAACTGAACTTTGTACTGAAATTGATTATTGTAACAGGTCATTTTCATCATTTTAGTGTGCAAAACGCTGGCAGAAACATGGTTAAGGCAAAGAAATTTGTATTGGTAAATGGATTTAATAATATGCCTAAAGAAGAAGACTTCAAGTTGGTTGAAGAAGATTTGCTCGGCCCGCAAGAAGGAGGTAACGATTGATAAGTAGCTAATTAATCCCGGACTCAACAGAGATTTACAGAGTTTTTGGCGGAAGCCCTGTATTTGAGCGTCGATCCCTACATGAGAGCCTACGCTCACCAACTGAAAGAAGGGAAGACCATGATAGGGGTGCAAGTAGCCAGGTGTGCTAATTAAAAAAGTCCTTTTGAATGTTTCTAATTTGTTTTAAGAATTTTGGAGTCAAATAACAAAGAATTTCCCGTTGGAAAATATGTAGTGGGAAATTTTGGATGGAGCACGCATACTATTTGCAATGGTTTACGGTCGACTACGCAATCAGAGGTCGATCATTACCCATATGTACTGCCGGACATTGGACAACTTCCCCCATCCTTAGGTTTGGGAGTGCTAGGTCTGACGGGGTAAGAATGAATGGCTTAACGGCTTCAATTAATCGCATTTTAGAAATACGGCGTATTTTGGATTTACGGAGATATGCAAGCCGAGAGCGGGCGAAACTGTGGTTGTGACTACAGCCGCGGGCGCTGTAGGCAGTCACGTTGGACAGATTGCAAAAATCAAAGGATGTCGCGTTATTGGAATCACCGGGTCTGATGAAAAGTGCCTGTGGCTAAAGTCGATCGGATTTGACGCTGCGATTAATTACAAAAACGCAAACTGGATTAATGCGTTATCGGAAGCGACACCAAGGGGCATAGATTGTTATTTTGATAATGCAAGTATCGTACTTAGTACCTTGGTGGTGTGATTTTAGAAAAAAACACTTTAGGTCGGAGGGGAGATTAGCAGCACGATCATACAACGTATGTGCACAGACGGAAGGGTAGCCGTGTGTGGATCAATTTCTTCATACAACTGCGACGTACGCCAACTTCCTAAGGGTGAGTAAATTAACAACTGTCTGGTCATAAAAAAACGCGTGTTTCAGCCACTATGATACAACCGTGGATAGTATTTCATCAATTAGAAATAAAAGGCTTCGTCAGCAACAACTGGAGTCGTCGGTGGATGGAGGGGATCAAAGAAAATTTAAAATGGGTTCAGGAAGGAAGGTTGCGCTACAAAGAAACGATCACGGACGGATTTGAAAATATGCCAAAGGCTTTTATTGGACTTCTAAAAGGTGAAAATATAGGAAAAGCAATTGTTAAGGTGTAAAGGATCTCTCCTACCCTCTGTCTTGTAATAAATAATTTTGTAATAAACTATTCTTTTTTATAGTATCGAGCTTATTTTCATTTTCTAAAACGTTTTAGACAAAAATAGAAACATTATAAGTCTCAAAATAGAAAGACAAACTGGCAAACAAAGATTAACTAATAACTAATTTTAGGCTTTTAGATGCACTAATCAAATTATACTCGTATTAGGGTCCATATCTATACACTGTGTCCAAAATAAGAATGCGCAGCATGGGGAAATCGGAAACCATAAACGATACTTACAATGGGAAAATAAGTTGCTTAGTAAAATGACATTTTAAAAATTCGGAAATTCCGATCATTTCCGAAGGTATTCGAAAAAAACCGAAATTAAAGTAGTTAGAGCGCCTAGGTAAAAGTAACAAGAAGTTACTTATTCTCTGAGAGACGCACTTTCTAATGGTCAAAAGAAAAAAGTGTTCCTATGTGCCGTTTCTGAGATATTTGACAGTAAAAACAGGGTATTTTAACATGGGCTCTTATGGACAGACTCAGTTTTTCTGAGCTAGCGAAGGTTTTTGTATCAAGACTTAAATGAGATGGGTCTCATTAGAAGCGAAATTTTGTGACGAATCTAAATATGCACGGAAAAGTACATGTTCATGATGAAATAAGGAAGATATTTACCGCCGAAGCGGCGTCTGCTTTGACGCGGCGGCACGCTATGCAGCACGCGTTTAAATCTGATGACTTTTCCACTAGGTCTAGTATATAGCTGAGCTAGGACAATCTTTTCCTTCTTCTGCTGAGCACTTTTCTTCACAAAAAGCATGGTGTCTTTCAGAAAGAACACCAAAACCAGCGATATTTATAAAGGCCTGCACACGTCTTGTTGACACACTGATCGGATCGAGATCAAGATAGCGGCTGGGGATCTCTGGCGCCAACATCGAAAAACCAAATCCACTACACCGACTTCACGTAAAACGCCAAATTATTTAGTTTCCCGGCTTTTACATACGTCTCGCATACGTTTTGATTAAAAAGAAATATATTCGTTTAGGATTTACCGCTTCCACTGTGAATATTTAGTCGCGGTGTGTCGTCAACATTTAGTGTGCAAAGGTTTGAAACAGGGTCGAAAAGTAGGGAGACTAGTCAAGTTGACTACTGTATATACCTTTTTAAAAATCATGTAAGACGTTTGCATTGTGCTGAGGTACAAAATACCACTCATACCGTATTTCTAATTATGTTTCCTTCATAACAACATTTTTTTGGGGACGTTTACGTTCAGTAATAGGTAGGCCGAGTACATCACTTGACTTCAGCCGAACGCGCTCTAACTACTTTAAGTAATTTCGTTTTTATTTTTATCTTACCCTGTTTGAAAAGATAAAAACCAAATAACACTTTTTAAGCTCTGTGATTTTTTACCAGTTTTTTCGTAACAGGCACAAAAAATTCCTTCTTTGGTGCAAACCTCGGCACCATATCGAACCAAATAGTGAAAAAAGTACAATAACAGCTCTTAAGATAAAGAACTAGTAGCGACCGAACGGCCACAGGAACGGACAGACGGACGGACAAAGTGCCCGCAATAGCGCATTATTTTTGGAAATGCGCTAAAAATGAATCGCCGAAATGTATGTACAACATGCATAACTTCAGAACGACTGCACCAAATTAGATCATTCCTTTTTTGTTGTGTTTATCAGGACAAGGTTTGTATAAAATATAATTTCCAAAAATTTGTACGGAAAGACGTAAAAAACAATGTTTCTCTTTTACGTTATTTTAAATCGCAATATAACTAATAGACTGCGCCAAAGCGAGATCTACTACGGCCCTAGAAGAATCCACACCACTTCCTAACGCTTTCAATGGATTTTCAAGAGTATTGGTTTTAAAGACTTCAAGGATCGAGGCTCTGAAGCTTTAAAATCAACAAAAAGAGCCTTTTGGAAAGTTTTTGAGATTTTGAGAGCACGTAGATTTGGTCCTTTTAAGAGACTTTATTGATGTGTAACCATCATTAGTCACCAAACGCTTTTAAATCTCCTTAAGAAAAGCCTTTAAAGTTTAAAAATCTCTAACTGCAAGTGAAAGTGTCCCTAAGAGCCTTAAGTATTGCCAACAGTCTACAGAAACTTGTAAAAATCTCTACATGTTCAAGAGTCTTCTGGAAGCGCCGATAGGATTTAACTTAGAGCTTTTACGAGTCTCTAAAAGCCTTTAACAATCGCAAATAGTCCCCACTTTTTAAATAAGGGTTTCTCCCGTACATTGAAAACGCTTAAATAGGGTGCCCTCTAGCCATTTTTATTAATTTCGTGATCGTACCTGGAAGGCTTATTAGCGTCACGTAACCGAGATATCTAATTAGGAGTTAGAAGTGCAATGTTCCTATCTGGTAGTTGGTATTTTGCTTTTTTGGGAAATCGGGGAATCTATTTTTTTTATGTATTGCATGGAAATAATATCTTCAAGTATCTACGTATAAAATACTGTCGCAGTGTACAATTAACGTATTTGTATGATACATTAAATAGGAAAAAAAGTATTTCGTGGCCGAGTTGTCTCAGTGGCGAGTCAGTCAGTGGCGGATCGCCCTTGGCGATTTGGCCGTGCCCCGTTGTAGTTTTTGGGCTCTCGACTGTAGGAAGGTTCGCTCTAGAAGAGGGTTTCCCAAAGTAAGGGTCGCGACCCAGTACCGGGCACGAGGTAAATCATACCGGGAGTAACCGACCAAGTGTACTAACTACAATACGAGCTACAATATATATATTGTATATTTGATTTCAATTGCAGAGTCCTACTAATTTACATTAACAATATTACATTGATTTTCATACTGTAAATATACACTGTGGCCAAGATAAGGATGTTTATCATGGGGATCTCCAGAAGATACGACGGTGGTGACATTAGGAAAAAATTCAGATTATTCCAAAATTCCAGAAAAACCGAAAGTTGCCAATTTGGTTTTAATTTTTTTTTTCTTCTGTAATTTAAGCAGATAGGAAAATTTAAAAAAAACACTTTCTCATTGCCACTTTTTGAGCTCTACAAGACACTACTGTGAGATGCATGAGGGCGGAAACACAAATTTAATACTCGGAAAGAAAAGTTGCATTCATTTCGTAACCAGTTCAGATGATAGTGTCATAAAAACTACATTTTAAGATGGTTTCAAATTTTCGCATACACTGCGGGGTTTGTTTAGCGGGTGATAACCTCAAAATGTTTAAATTGCAAAAGAAACATATTACCAAAACCATGAATACTGGTGGTTTCTTCAAGAATGCGATTTTGCAAATCATTTATTGATTCTGAATTTGTTGCACACACCCTAAACAGAGAAAATCGAGTGGTGTAAGATCCGGAATGCGTTTCTTTTTTAATTCCTTTTAATTAGGGTGAAACTAGACAAGGGTTGCAATTTAACACTTTTGGAGTTATCACCCCCTAAAAATTCTCCCCAGTGTACGGAAGCATGAACCATCTAAAATGTAGCTCTTATGATTCTTGATTGATCCCCAAATTTTCCGACTTTTTTTCCTTTTTTAGGATGCATAATTAATTATTCGGTCATACTACTGGCGGCAAAGATGCTTATTTCTTGCATTATTCCAACTGGAAGCTAATATTGATTTGTATTTCGCTCTTGACTTCTTGACATTGTGTTGCGGTTGGCCTTGAGCTGCCGTAAACCAAGTTACACGCTACCGAATACTTACTTTATCCGGCATTGCTTTAACATAGAACCAATAATACTAATAAAAGAGAGATTATGCGTAGAAAATAAACACAAATATTTAACTGTGGTAAACCATGTAAAATAATAGGACATCCGGCGTTGACGCATTTATATAGATGCTCAATCGAAATTTGAGTTATAGGTGTATTGGGTGTTATCGTTAAAATGGTAAAAGCAAAGAAATTTGTGCTGCGACATATTTTTGAGGGCCTACCTAAGCCTACCGATGTCGAAATTGTGGAGGAAGAATTACCATGCATACAACATGGAGGTAAGATCTTCGCTGGACTTTTTCAAACATTAAATAAAACTAAATTTTACGAAATTATTAAAATTTATATCACTATATACAATACTTTTCGGTGTGACTAAAAGTTTGTAATTCAGTATTTTGAAAAAACGACTGAACAAATCATTATGTTATACCGGCACCTTCAATGAACAATGTTTATTCGTCTACTGGTAATTTTAGAATTTTTAATGGAAACACTGTTTCTTTCGGTCGATCCGTACATCAGGGCATTCGAGCAAACAGTTGGAGATGTGGTAATTGGTAAACAAGTAGCAAAGTAAGTAAGCCTTCTTAAATAAGCACCTCTTAATTGCCTACCTCAGAATAATAGAAAGCAAATCAAGGAGGTATCCGGTTGGTAAGTATGTGGTCAACCACTTCGGCTGGAGAACGTATACCATCGCCAAAGATATTCCTGCGCCCGAAGGAATTCTGCCCGATTTTGGCAATGTTCCTCTATCACTGGCACTTGGTATGTTGGGGATGACAGGGTAAGTGCGTTAGATTTGAGTTTGTCACTTCTACATTTTACGCCTTAGAAATACGGCATATTTTGGATTTTTGGAAAAGTGTAAACCGAAAAGGGGAGATGTTGTCGTGATAAGTGGTGCTGCTGGAGCTGTAGGTAGTCACGTTGGTCAAATTGCTAAAATATTTGGGTGTAAAGTGATTGGAATTATGGGAAGCGACGCAAAGGGGAAATATGTAACTGAAGAATTGTGCTTCGATCATTTCATTAACTACAAGAAGGGAACAATAAAGGAAGACCTGAATAAGTTTGCACCCAAAGGTGTCAACTGCTATTTTGACGGGGTAAGCAATTTAAGTGAATCATTGTAAACAGAACATAGTGTTCCTAGGTCGGTGGCGAATTGAGTAGCACCATTATTCATTCGATGGCACCACACGGACGAATCGCTGTTGTTGGAACGGCCTCAGAATACAACGATGACCCAACCAAGTTACCCAAAGGTGGGTAGTGCATAGATTTAATTTGTAAAACATGCTAATTTCGTAATCTAGTCACCCCAGTACAAAGTGCTTTCGTGGGAAAACTACTTCAAATGGAAGGCTTTCAAGTATACGAATACGCTCCACGTTGGAATGAAGGCATTGAGCAGAATCTTAAATGGATTCAACAAGGCCAGTTAAAATACAAAGAGACCATCACGGAAGGCTTCGAAAATACATTTAAGGCGTTTGTTGACATGCTCCAAGGAAAGCACACCGGTAAAGCTATAATAAAGGTGTAAATGTCTTCAGTGTAACTCACTCAATCGCGCAAATAAAAAGAAAATGTCTGTCTAATATCTGTAGTTTTTATATATATATGAAATAGTACAAAGCACTAATTAACACATATTTATTATACAAGGTAGGTCAAATAATATGAATTTTGCTCAAGAGTTATTTGTTATTAATATGGAAAATTGTTATCAAGAAAATGTATTTACAATTGCAAACTAATATCTAAGAAACAGTGAACTATTTTGTTGTTATAAAAATTCGATAACCTTTATGTTTCTCAACCTATGTTGCAGCATTTCGAACAGCATTTTGATGATGCTCTATTTCTAAAACAATTGATACACATGACTCATGGTTGCGTTTTGGTTTTCAGACCAAGCAGAATGTCTTATAATAATAAAAATAATAATATATTTATTGAACACATACATACCATGACGCGTGCTCAATGGGTTTATGATCGGCAGTGATAAAGAATCACTTTTTTTTCGTAATGTTAATAATTAATAAAAAAGTTTCAGATATGCTGCGAACTTAAGTGGACACACTGTATGTGGTATGCTTCATTCTGATCCCAAGGTCATCTAATCATTTTGAGAGCTAGTACATTCGCATCTGTGATACCGCATTTATAAATAATATACTACAACTTAGTGCATAAGTTCTCACTTATATAGAATTCACACGCAATTGCTAAGCAACACGTATTTCTACATTAAGTCATTAATTATCCTTGATTTAATTAAATTAAAAGTGAAGTGCCGTCAGGTAAATCCCGCGGCTGTTAAAATGGTGACAGCGAAAAAGTTCATTTTAAAAAAGAAATTTAGTGGTGCCGCAAGTCCATCGAACGTTGAAATTGTCGAAGAGGAGTTGCCCCCGATCAAGGATGGAGGTAAATATTTAAAAAAAAATTGTTATTTGTTGTATTTATCACCTTGAGATAAACGCACATTAAAAATTCCATTGCCAACGCAAGGACCAAACTGAAATTTCAAATTCAAACATGAGTCCAATTATTGTACCACTTTATTATCTTACAATAAAGTAACTACCGCGTATGTGTGATTGCACCGAATTCACAAAAGAAACGTATTTTAATTACGGTCTTAATTTTAGTTAGATTTCATAAGAATTTTCTTGTTATTCCGAACTGTGTCGAGGATATTGTTAATTTCCAATGTGTGTTTCAGAACTCTATTATTACCTCGATTACCACTATTAATTGAGGATTGTTACATGAATAACATAACTCACTATACGCAGTGTCCCAATGAAAATTTGGACCCCCATAAAACCCGGCAAGATAAATGATTTGACAAAAATTTAAGAGCCACTCGATTTTATATGGAAGGGGCGTAGTGACGTAGCGTAGGAGGGGGGGGGGCGGAGGGAGATTGAGATGGAGGAGTATGGTGTGACTCGTCATTTTTTTTTTGTCCTCCATCTCATTCCGTAAACATCCATTATGGCATATTCTCTCTCTTTTTAAAAATATAACACTAAACAATTCGAAAATTTTCAAAATTCAAAAATCATGTTTTGAATTCTCTTGTATTTCATTTGAACCTTTTTTTAATCTTTTTTGGATCACTTCTATCATCCCTAGTGCGTTATACTTTGGGGTTGGTCAGATAACTTTTTTGCTGACTTTTGGAAGATTATTAAACAATTATGATAATAACTTTTGTAATAAACATTTTTTTTGTATCTCTCTTAACTAGGAAAATACAGGATCATTCTGAAATTGACAGTTTTTTTTTATTTTCCCTCGTATCTCTTAAGCGAGCGACTATTTTACCCTTTTGTTTGACCCAAAAAGGGCACATGGGGCTTATATTACTTTTTTGATTATGTGTCGAAAATGAGACGCCCTGTACATCAAATATCTGTAAAAGAAACCGCAAACCAGTACACATTAAAGAGTGACGATAATATTTTTTACTGCAACTTTTTTATCAGTAACGTAGAAAACATTTTTTCCTCTGACCACGCTAAAGAATATATGCCGATATAGCTTTTAAAATAAAGAAAACAAGTCTCATTCAAAAACACAACCGGCACAAGTGAATGGCAACCCTTTCTCCTTACATTAATTATAAATCCCAAGGGCCAAGCAAAAGAAATAAAACAGCGAACGAAATTGTTTTAGAATTCCTCACGGAAGCGGTTTACATTTCCGTCGACCCCTACCAAAGGGCTTACAACCAAGAGGTAGGGCAAGTTATGGCAGGAATACAAGTGGCAAAGTAAGTAAACCCCATCTCGGCAATATAGATCTACTTAAACACTGTTTAGAATAATAGAGAGTAAATTGGAAAGTTATCCTGTCGGAAAGTACGTGGTGACCCATTTCGGATGGCGAACGCATACCATTTCAGAAGGACTAACCGCACCATGGGGAATTGTCCTCGACTTTGGAAACCTGCCGCTATCACTTGCACTTGGAGTGCTGGGGATGACGGGGTAACGTTCGATATCTGTTAGAACTGCTCGAAACATTGTTATCACTAGAAATACGGCGTATTTCGGATTAATGGAAATATGTAAGCCTCAGAAGGGAGAAACGGTGGTTGTATCTGGAGCAGGTGGGGCTGTTGGTAGTCACGTTGGTCAAATTGCCAAAATTATTGGATGTAAGGTAATTGGAATTCTGGGAGATGATGAGAAGGGAAAGTACATTACTGAAGAGTTGGGTTTCGATCATTACATTAATTACAAAAAAGCTAACATCAAAGAAGAATTAACAACATATGCCCCTGACGGCATTGATTGCTACTTTGATAATGTATGACACCGAAAAGTCTGTTCCGTTTTCAAAACCTTGTTTTCAGGTGGGAGGTGATATAAGCGCCACAGTGATCAGCTTGATGAATAAATTTGGTCGTATTTCTGTATGTGGATCAATTTCCTCGTACACCCTCGACACATATGATATGCTAAAGTGTACAAAAACTGCACCCTTGATTTGAATGTTGTAATTAGATTCATATTTTTAGTTACACCTATTGCAGCAATCTTTATCGGGAACGAGCTTCGTATGGAAGGTTTTATGGTGACCCGATGGTTTGACAGATGGAATGAAGGAATCGAGCAAAATCTGAAATGGGTAAAGGAAGGCAAATTAAAGTACAGAGAAACCATCACAGAAGGATTCGAAAATACAATACAAGCCTTTATGGACATGTATGAAGGAAAAAATACTGGGAAAGCTATCGTTAAAATTTAAAAGCATTGTTTTATAAACTGTAAAAAATGAAATGTTTGCATAATTCTGCTGTAATTATAAAATATAAAACTGATGAGACTCGGCGTTGTCATCCAATGGTGAATAATATTAACTTTAGTATGCGTATACCTAACACCTATACATATACTACATTCCTAAAGGTTCTTACCAGAGGTATTAAGTACCTTCGCAAATCCATCTGCACGTTAATGTGCACCAAAAATGAAAAAAATGTATACAGTGCCACCATGCTCAGAAAAGCCCCGGAAAATATGCGAACTAATTTTGAAATAATTCAGGCTGGCCAATAGAAAGTCTGCAAAACGACGCGATACATTCCGCGCCATAATTATTAATTATTCGGTTTTGACAGTTGACGTTTCACGTTATTTTAGTTTACACTTTGCTTCTTGTATTTGCTTTTTTTTACGTTTTCCGTCTCCAGTTTTATATAAACTCGTCTTTTTCAAGACGCATATAGCTTGGATCTACGATCTGATAAGGTATTTAATTCTCTTCGTGTTTTTAAATTTTGCATCAGAATGTACGGTCTAAATTTCTAGCGCCCTCGGACACGCCCTGTCAGGGACTTTCTGAGCGTGGTGCCACTTGTAGTTATTATATTACGAAGTATTTACTCGATAATAAATAAAACACCCACCTACGCCCATAAGTGAAAAAGTTGGCTACGCCACTGATCATAAATCCAAAGATGTCAATGTCACAAACATAACCTTACATTTTAGCCGTAAAGCAAAGAAATGAAGATTCAAAGATTATAATCACTTTGCCATAATCCACACCATGTCTGAAACTCTTCGCATTGCTAAAGTATACATCTGCAACAATTACTTCACCGGCATACCGAAATTAACCGACTTTCAAGTGGTAGAAGAAACCCTCGGTACACTAAACGAAGGAGGTAAGCCTTTCAAATTACTGCGTATCTCCCCTTAAACGCCTAACATTAAAGATTACCTCGTCGAAGCAAAGTTTATAAGAATATCGCCAGACCCATCGGAGATCACTCCCAATTCTACGCCGAAAGCATTTCAACTTGCCAGGTAAAGATAGGTGTAAACTGTAATTCCCTAACAAATTACTTTCCAATAGAATTGTGGAAAGCAGAAATCCGTCTTTTTATGTGGATGACTTCGTTGTAGGTGATTTTGGGTGGCGAACGCATACTATCGTTCGTGCGGGTACCATAGTGGAGGGTTTACAACCGTATGTATTGCCTGAAATTGGGCCTGTACCTAAATCATATGGTGTTGGACTTTTTGGTGTACCTGGGTATGTTCCCTAACTTTGTATCTTTGCTATTAAGAGTTATTGTTATGCAGAATTGCGGCATATTTCGGCTTGTTAAAAGTTTGCGAAGTCAAGGAAGGGGATGTAATTGTGGTGTCATCAGCGGCCGGCGCTGTAGGCAGTTGTGCTGGACAAATTGCGAGAATTAAAGGGTGCAAAATAATCGGAATCACTAGCTCCGAAGAGAAGTGTGCGTGGTTAAAGGAGTTGCACTTTGATCACTGCATTAATTACAAGACTGACGATATTACGACGAAACTAAAGGAATATGCACCAGAGGGTGTCGACTGCTACTTTGATAATGTGAGTCGCTGCCCAATATTGCATGATTATCTATTGTAATTTGAAGGTTGGAGGCGAAATAAGTAGTGCAGTGATTTACGAAATGAAACAGCATGGACGTATTTGTATAAATGGAGCCACATCTCTTTATTATAATGAAGAGAAAAAAGGTACCGCAGTATTTTATGTGAATGTATTAATATTTCTGTTTGAAGCGAGCGAAGTGCAGTCTCCTATAAAAATGAAAATGGTGAGAATGGAAGGTATGAATGTGAGTCGTTACGAGGATGATTGGTATCAGGGGCTTTATCGAAATTACCAATGGTACTTTGAGGGCGTTCTTAAATGTAAAGAAACCTTCATAGAGAAGTTTGAATCGACATCACAAACATTTATTGATGTACTCAATGGAAAATATTTCGGGAATGTTATGATTAAACTATAATAGAATACTTTCATATGCTCTTATAATAAACTCAAATTTTCATATTATGCTTACATTGACTAAAGTGACACCTACCTCCAAGTCTGCATAGCTTTGAAAATAGTCCATGGCGGTGAAACTGTTCACTCACGTGTTTTTAAAAAATTCAAATTTGGGGGTTATATCAGAGATATAACAGCTGATTGTCACAGACCTAGATATACACGGAGACCTAATTTCTGTGAACAGATTCCGCATAGTTGCCACATTTTCAAAAAATTCCAAAATCTTTTCCGGCAAGATCGCTCTAATATGCTATACCAGGGCTTTCAAGGTATGCCCAACCCAAAGCAGTAGCAGTCTCGGACACACATCCCTTACAAGAAAAATGGAAATCGTTTTAGCGTATCCTGGAAACTTCTTGGCCCTAGAAAACATTAAGAGGCAATGTTCCATATTTCCCTAGCTCTATGGCTCTTGTGTTCTTCCCAAACATTTATGGGCTTACATGGTCCTCTATAAAGCATTTGTGGTGTCCCTGCAATGCACGATTCTTATAGTATTCTCTCTGGAAATCATTAATGATTTTCAATTAAATGAGTCAGAGCTGTAGACTGCTTCTAGAACTGGAACGGTATGTAGACTATAGTAATATTGAGCAATTAGCAACAATTTTACTACGGATGTATAAAGGGTTTTTTCATTCCGATATTAAAATCTTGCCAAAGTTGATGATCTTTAAATTATTTATTTCTTTAGCGCGGTCACGCCAGTACTTTAGGTTCGAATCGTGGGTTAATTACTAATGCGTACGCTGTTGCCACATCACAAATTTGCCCCTACCTTTGAAGTGACGTCACATTGCCATTGCCATGTTGCCAATTATTTGGAATGCAATTCCATCGCAATACGAGAACAATGAAAATAATTAAATAATAATCTTACAATTAAGGTTGATAATTAGCACAATTTATTCTATTAAATTTGGTTTTACGAGAAAATTGTTAAAATCAGCATATAAACAATTTTCATTATTGGCAACAATGTCACCTTTTAGCCACAATGGAATATCCAAATCCGCAGTAAAACTTTTAATTTGCAATGATGAGATAAGTGTAACTTTACTGTGCACTATAAACACTTTAAATTGAAGTAAACATGAAACGTCAGAGGTGGGTTTCGTACTTATTAAAAATCATCCCCATTATCCCTATTTTTTAGGGCCAAAATGTCAGAAGAAGGTTATACAAGGTTAGCAACAAAAGATAGCGACGATAGTAGCGAAGAAACCGAGCTTTCTGCAAAAAAACCTACTTTCCAAGAAATACCAACTGTAGAGAAGGTTGTGGAAGACGGAGATACCTTGCAGGCCCTTTCAATACGGTATCATTGCCCGGTACGTTGCAACTATCATTCTTTGATACATAATAACTTCCAATTATAGATAGCCGAATTGAAACGGTTAAACAACATACACAGAGAAAATGAAATATTCGCAAAGAATACCATCAAAGTTCCTGCTCGGCCATTTTCAGTTGCGCTTGCAAGTGTCCATACCAGTGGCACAAGTTCTCCGAAAGAGCAGTCGGAAGTTACAGGGATAGATACGGACATACTCAGTCTTAAACTGAGTAGGGAACTGTTAAACACTCCCAAACAGAGTAGTGATATAAATAGTAGTGTGGAAGTGAACAGTGTTATTTTTAATAGCAATGTGAAACCTATTAATAAAGTCTGTGATAATAGTCCATTAACTGAGGTTCATCTTCACGAAGAAGTACGGTTGTTACCTCCTAAGAAATCATTAAACACCACTGTTCTTAATAGGCTCTCGTGCGATGGTGCAGATGCTGGGATTTCGTGGATTGCTTTAATCATCTGCATTGTAATCGTAATTGTTGCCGCACCACTTATTTATGTCTTGTACATTGCTGAACATCCTGAACAGTATTATCATTCTCATATATGATGTGTTAACATTCTCCCTTTTCTACTCTATTGTTGACCTTAGTTTTTATTTAACGACTTTTATTGAATATTTTGTAATTGTGTCATATTTTGAATCCACTCTTGAGGGCAAATTTTAGCTTTCTCGTTTGATTTTAATGTGAAACTTTGTGATTTGTACTACATCACTTGGCAAAGTAACGTATCACATATTTCAGGACAATATGTACCTACTTGTGATAGAATACCAGTATATTAAACGAATTGTTGTGACCTCTACAAACCAAAAAATACTATTTATAGATGAAATTATGTATACAATTAAATACATTTGTATGACTTGTTTTGCAATTATTGACCTTATAAAATCCAGACACAACCAAACTACCTCACTAATTGAATGTAAAGTTTTGCGCTCTTCCCAAATTTGTTCTTCTAAAATGCTGTCATCCTGAAAATCACAAATTCTCGAGGAGGGTTGTATAGGAACTGAAAGCCCCGATCTTTCTTTCTTAATGAAAAATCTGCACAGAATTTCTAAGATTATCTTACACCGATTGCTAATTGGTATAATGTTAATTAATTTCCCAAAAAAACTATGACGCCTGCATTACTTTTTTGATAGCACTAACAATGGGTATTACGAAGATACCCTACAAAAGTGGGACACGCTATACCATGTAACCCCTGTAATAAAAGCGTTAAAAAAATATCTTTTTCTTAATTTCGACATTGCCTGTTGAGCAAGTACATTATCTGCACATTATAAATACACACCTTATCAATAAAGTGTACTTATCTTAAGGCTATTGTGGTTTGCGTTACAGCACTATTGGCCCATTATTCATTAGTTTTCCTAATCTAAACCTAAAAAAATGAGGTCTTCTGTGGCAGGGGAGTACCAATTTTCAAAAGAAACCGCATATAGCCAAAGAGATCATCAGCGAATTACCAGATAGATACTGCACCCAAAATTCTTTCATTTTAAAAAATGGACAAGGATTTTCTCGTTCTTTTTAGTTAAATTTCCAAGATATAAAAGGAACTTATTGCCAACATTTCTGTTTGATATCAGTTGATAGTCAGAAAATGGAAAACACGCATGGACCGATGAGACTTTCCTAAATTCCCCATTACTATAAGTAGTGGTGTTTTGGGACCGGGGGAAAAACCATTACATAATTTGGAATTTTTGTTTATGAAATGGTTTAACAAGTACCAAAATAATGAGATTAAGATGAAAGTAAGTAATCTTTCTATCAAATTCTAACATGATAACTATATAGGTACACACACAGTGTGTCCCAGTAGACAGAACCAACCATCGGAAAACGCAATGCATTTTTTGGCGGAGTCCATGAAGCCTTTGAAATTAGCGTTTAACCAGAGTTATATACTCTTTGGTTTAACGTACCACTCCAATCTCTTTCTAGCATCAAGCAAGTAAAAAACTAAAATGTTCTGCACCCTCTATAAATTGACTAAATTTAAATTAATTAAATCATTGAAGTGTTTTTATTAATATGGCAAATACAGGAAAATCACCTCCCCTTATAATTAGCAGCAGAGAATAGCAACCGTGTATCTTTCAAATTAACGGTAGTGTTGGAAATAAAATTTCAGAACGTACGCGAGTACAGTGAAAAGGTAAAAAAAATCCTCCCAAAGAGTATAATTTTAGTTACCATCTACGTGTCATAAACGATAAAATGTCTGCGAGAACGTTTAAATATTGTTTACGATACCTTAATTATAAACGTTTACGAAAAACGTTGAATAATGTTTCATAGATAAAGTTGAATACGCATAATATATTGATTTTGACAATATACATATACCTAATATAATAAAAATACATAAAAAAGGAAATTATTTATTTTATTTCTAAAGAGTTTATAAATTTACCATTTAAGTATGTCACGGGATGTCAAATTTGTGAATAGAGGAAAAAAATCATGTAGAAGCCAATTTTCATACAGATGTAGGGGACAGTATCCTGAACAACATACTAAAAGTACTGAGCTAAAGGAGGGGGGAGGGATTAAAGGTCCCTTTTTAGTTTTTCATGAATTTGCTTAATTCTCTAGAATAAAATGTTTAATTAGGAGCAACAGTTTTCAAATTATTCACGAAAAACTAAAAAAAAGGACCTTTAACCCCACCCCTCAGTGCTTGTAGTGTGTTGTTCCCTTCCCTACATCTGTGCCAAAATTGGCTGCTACACGATTTTTTTTCACTATTTTGCCTTCATTCCCTATTTCTTTAGAAGGATATCTTGGCGGCCACTGTAAGAAACAAAGAATAATTACATTGTATTACCAATATCACAGTACATACCTACCATTGAAAAGCTCTTAAATTCAAGTTAGCCCGTGTCGCGGGATAAAAATTCAAAACTTCAACTTCAAAATTTGTTCAAGAATAATGGCGGTGCATTGTGCAACACAATGATGCCGGTATCTGTAACATATATAGTTAAGACGTACCTACAGTTCCAGCTGTCATTTCAACAGTCATGAAATTTCACATAGTGAATCCCTTATACCTACTGAATATTAAGTCACTTCTGGCGGTCCTTGGTGGTCGGGATAAACTACCCCTAAAAAAGATTCGATCACTAACAATCTGCCAGAGGGAAAACGTGTCCATGCGAGAGCAAGTGGGACAGCTATACATCAACCTGCAGGTTAAAGAAAGAACACATACATACTCAGGTATATAAACAAAAGGTTGGGATCTTCCAACAGTTTGGGTTGCAACTACAGTGACCGCAATTTCCTAAAATTTAATGACTAATATTTTGACCAAAATGAATATTTCTTAACCTCCTTAACATTTTTGGTAGTTTCCACTGACCACAGAAGTGACAATATTCAGAGGATTTACGAATATTGAAATGTCAACCTAAAATTGGGCATAGGCTCTTTGTCTATTAGGTCATTTGTACGTTCAAGATTTTATTGTTTGTTTGAACTGTTGTTAACACCCAAACGGACGGGCACTAAATAATTACTCCATGCACAGCAAAATGTTTATTTAAAACGAGATCTATTTTATGTTTCGACAAATACATAAATCTAAAATCGAGAATAACATAAATTTCTACTGTAAACTTAAAAGACGCTATTAAGTTCGATATGATTTTTTTATTTGGGTGCAATTTGACCCAAAAATTTTTTTTCAACCCCAATGCGTTCCGCCACTAGTGTGCCGTGCCTGTGAAAAAGAGAGAGAATGATGCTGCAGAACTGAAATAAAAAATTCACATGTCAAGAATACTTGAGTAATTTATTATTTCACCTTACTACATCATATCCTAACATAGAGAAGAGCACACAATAATAATACACAATAAATATTTTATTTTCCATATTTATTTATACTAAGTCGAAAAACTGATAATGTGAACCAAAAAAGTACATCCTTATTTATAAGTTACCTTAAGTTAAGCTACAGAAGACTTAAGAGATACAATACTTAAAACACAAAATCTGATTTAAGAGACCGACACCTGTTAATGAAAGATTGTTTTCCACTGGGATGAAATCGACTACCAATAGAAAACAATGTCGATAGTTTCCCCCATAGTTCAAAACTTGTTCGTACGAACAAGCCTTCAACTTTCATTTACATTCTACGGTTATCTGTGAGATGTATTTGGTGATTACTTTCATAAAAACACAAAAGTATTTGTACTCTTTTTACCTAACAATATGTTAGTACAAGCACTTTAACTATATTTGATTTTCGAGTTACAATAACTCGTTGTTACATGTTAAAATATAATGAATAACTACCTTGAAATTGTCCATTGTGTAAAAACTAAAGCAAAATGTTCCTAGTGCTAAACGTATAATTGTAAAACCAAGTAAAACTGCTTCCACTCCAGGTTACTAATTGACACAAATTAATTTCAAATGCCCTTTGAGTCAGAGATGGAATGTACTTGCGCTATAAAAATATTTCCAAAGTAAATTACAGTTATGGATTAAAGTGAATAAAGGGTATGGATAGTGTAAATACAAAATAACATTTATGGGATAGATGAAAACGCTCTTCGGAAGATTTAGTAGTTACCGCCACGATCTGTATTATTGTGGACACTGCAATGAAAAATATTCGGTTAGTACACATTCATCGGTAAGATTTCAAAATAGAGATTATTTACATTCGTTGATGATGCTGATGATTGAAGCGATGATGCCCGTTGCGCGTATTCAAACGTTAATCCACTGAAGCAGCAGATAGCTTTGTGGGAGGATTAGTGATTCCTTGTTACGTAAAGCAGAACAACAAAATCACTAGTCTTCCACACAACACCACCTTATTAGTAGACAGTTCACCTTACCTATACATATCTAATAAACTACTGTTAGTTTTTATTTACAATATTAAGATTTGGATTAAAAATATTGTGTACATTTTGATAATTGGTACAAATTTACAAAAATGATGTGCAGTAGTATTTATTATTATTCGATAAATATTTTACAATAGCCGTATGAAGGGAATAGTATGACAATGTTAATTAAGCATTGTAAGGTGCCTGTAAGGAGTGTGTATGCTCTTTTGATTAGCAATAATCAAGCATTGTTTGTGAAATTGGCGAAAAAATGTAGGTTGTGATTACTTAAAAAATTATTGAATCTAATTTGCGTGTGGTTGCAGAGCAAAATAATGTTTCACTTATTCCCTTCACATGACAGTACAGATTACATTTTGTTCGTAGCCGTTGAAGTGAAACAATTTGCAAGAAACATGCTCTTTTTATAAATTTGATTGACGGTTGTTGGATCTTTCTTACATAAGATACAATTGTTAATAAAACGTTTTGATTTAATTTGCAATTTTACCTTAACCAAATCAGTGCATTTTAAAAAGACTAATACACCACCTCACACCCTATAAAAGCAGTATTTCAAAATGGAACCTTCCCCCTTGAAACACAATCAATAAGTGACACAGTACAGAATGTTGGCATTTCAAAGACCAATAACTTGCATAGTTGAGAAAGACTAATAAGCCGTGTCAAGCAGTAAGAAGATTGCATTTCAAACAAAGCAATGGAATTCTATTCAATGGAAAATAAATCAAAATTGGCCTACCTCTGTTGTAGTAAATATTGAGCCATTTGTATTTGGTTCTGAGTTCCAGTTATTGTGATAATGCGATCATTGGACCCAATAAGCGGTTCGTCTATTGTAATTCCGGCACCGGAATCTTGTCTAATTTTACGAATTCGTCCACCACCCTTACCAATAATAGCGCCAGCAAGCTATAAACGTTACCAAATACGTAAGTATGTCAAACAAAATTGCATACGTACATCTTTAGGTATGGTAACTTGTGTCGAACCTGGCCCCCCACCACTATTCGGGCCGCCCATTCCACTACCTCCACCGCCCATGTGTGGTGGTCCATGACTGCCTCCACCAGACATCATGCCAGATTGCTGATTCATTGGTCTGTTACTCCACGGTTCGTCTCTGCCAAATGGGCTAGGGCCACCATTTAAGCCTCTGGAGGGACCACCTCCGAAACCACCACCGCCACCACGGCCGCCGCCACCTCCTCCTCCTCCTCCCATACCTCTGTCATTGAAGCTTCTATTGCTATGCATAAAATACATTGTAAATTCCCAAAGTTTTATGGAAGAAAATTGATGCTAAAAAAAGTTGCTCCTCTTAAAGGAAAGAGAAACAATACAAACTAATAGAAAAAAAAATAGAACAGTAGAAAGCAAATAAGGTAAAATAAGAGCGAACAATTTTGGAATAAGACATACCCTCCTCCCATTGAACCTCCTCCACGTGGTGGTCCGCCGCCGCCACGGTTGAATCGTCCGCCGCCGCCACTGCCACCTCCACTTCCACCCCCATTTCGGTCTCCTCCGTTTCCGCCACCTCCTCGAGGACCACCGCCCATGCCTCTATTAGGTGGACCACCGCTTCCGCGACGGTTTTCATTGCCGCCGCCGCCGCCAGCACCACCTTGTCCATTACCATATCCGCCATACTCGTCGGCGTAAAAATCATCAAAGTTATGGGGATCGTATGGCGTAACGGGACCTTTAATTGGGCTCTGCAAGAACGCAACTAAAAACTTGTACACCAAAAATCGCATTCAAATACCGATTTGATCAACGTCAGAACTTCGCGAATCGTATCGATACACTTTGACGGCTGCCCTATCATCTGAATAACGCGATCGGTGCTCTGTGGAGCGCAGTTTGAAAATATCTTGATCCGAGCGCCAGTTTTCTGAAAAAAAAAAGATCAAGTCAATTACATAGTTAGGTAATATCCACAACTGGAGATAATCTCGGGAGATTTTCATAAAAGCAAAGTTAGATTAGACTACATTCCCAGTTGGCTAAAGGGTTATTGTTAAACAGTTAAAACAAATATGCCGCAATATGTTTGGCTTAGGGAAACTTTTCGAACAATCCAATAAAGCATACGCACCCTTTTAATTCTGCACTAATATTTGGATTTGTTTTGATGTAAGCCGTTTGAATTTATTAGAACAAATAGTTACACCGCGTTGCGTTTACAAGTGCCTACAACGAGAGAAACTGATAATATTTGTCTCTATTATTGGATTTTTAAAAAATCTACTCTGAATTTGCCCCCTCATCAATCAAAACGGTAAAATACATCTTATACGTGCGTGAATCTTTTCCGTCCGTGTGAGAGTTTGAGATCTCAATCAACACACGTTAAGGGTCACTTTTTTTATTGGATGGACGACAAGCAATACTTATTTTTTGCATAGTTATCAAATTACCTGAATTTTTTTAACGCACAATCGTATGGAAAGTTTTTTTTCACGATTTATACTATGCGTTTCCATGGCGTTTAGTCCTATCTATAAACAGTTGCATCAATTTTTGAGTGACAGTAAATCGCGAATGTCAATGATATTGTCAATATGTGTTATTAAGGATCACTATACCATTCGAATGTGTCTTTTTTTCATGAATTAACTCCTCATTAATCAAACTGTATATTCATGAAAAAAAAAGTATCACTTTCAAAACTACTTGTACAAATAACTATTGTACAACTTATTCTGAAAGAGATACTTTGCTCTCGTTAATCAAACTGCAAATTCATGAAAAATGGCACTTTCAACACGTGATGAATGATCCTTACCTTAATAACCCATATTAAATAATATCATTGACATTCGCTATTTACTGTCACTCAAAAATTGAAGGCTATTTTTCAAAACGCCATGGAAAAGCATAGTAAAAATCGTGAACAAAAATTAACACTTTCCATACGATTTTTTGACAAAAAAAGTCCTGTAATTTTATTACTATGCAAAAAAAGAATGTCGAGTAAGTTTCCGATTCTGCGCAAGTTATTTTTAACTACAGATGCATCTCGTTAAAGTGCAGTGGACATACTAAGAAGTGCACTTGCGCTAGTGCAGAACTAACTTTTGTATTTTTATAAAATTGTGATATTATGTCCTGATAAACATAAAATATCTCGAGAACGAAATGTCAGAGGCAGGTACTCACAAAGACAAAAATAATACATCTTTTCGACATGCATCCAGCGGTACCGCATTCAACATGGTCAGATCACTAGTAATACAAATATAATGCATTTTAGACAACAGAATGGCGCAAGTGGGTACTCGTAAAGCGAAAAAGTGAAGGTCTTGGCAAAAAGGATTTGTTTGGGGAGTCGAATATTCCAAAACGGAGCATCGGAAATGTTACGCAACGTTGCAAAGTTGACACGTTGCGTCCATAGAATTTCAAATTCGGACTATCAAAATAGGGACAGAATGGGGTTACCATTATAACACAACAATCTCAGTTTGAATGCAACCGATATAATTTCAAAGAATGCAACGTAACGTACGGCATCCGTCCCAATCAGTCGTCGCGTGTACCTAACTGTGTCATTTCTTTGATGCAACGAGTAAAAACTGACAAATGGTGGCTCTGTCGGTAACTGTTACGCGTCTCCAATTGAGTACCGGTTAATCGCAGTCTCCACTATCCGTGTCGTAACGTGTTCGTTGTTACGTTACGGGTCATTTGTTATAAATGGATACCCAGCTTTAGAGCACGGAGTGAAGATAAAATGTTATTGTCCAGATGTATCTAGTACAGTTCTTGTTATGCATTGCAAAATACTTTAAATACGTACAATTTATTCTTCAAAGGTTCGATTAGGACACTGTGGAAGCTACGGACATTTCCGCTTTAATTCAAGAAATGCACAATACATGTGCTTACGTAATATGTACTCGTAACAATAAAAGAACATCCATCGTCCAAAAACGAGAGTAAAACATTCCAAAAAAAATTCCCTCGGCGTCCAACCGTTTTATTTTTTTAAATTTTTTACCGAATAAATCATCTTAAACCTTTTACGCGACTCCCATAAAAAATCCAAAGGACTTCCTCGACACGGCAAAAGAATTTACAATGCTAAATCGTAACCTCGATCGTAACATTTCAATGTTGCTTTTAGTAGAAATTTCTCGTACAGAAAAAAGTACGGATCCGTACACATATCATCAATTTTCTTATTTGCGAAACTCGAATCCCAAATTATGTTTTTGAAACACGTTTTTAGGAAAATTTAATTTAAAAATAGTATATTTTTATTAACGTCAAACTGCAATGGCATATGCAAGAGAGCTCGATAGTCCCACTGATTAAAAACTTTGTAGAGTTCCTGAATTAGGAAAATTGAAAAGCAAAAGATTTGTAATTTTTTACAATATATTTTTGTGTCTTTTTGACACAATATTTGTTTCTTAATATTCAATGCCAACTGGAAACAACATTTTATAACATCTTGCATCCACAGCAACATCTTTCACAATGAAAAGATCAAATAGGCGTATTAAAAATTTTTAAAAATGAACACGATTTAGATCTTGAACTGCAAATATGATATGAAACTACTCATCTCCCCTCTTTTCGCATTTACCAAGGGTGATACAAATTTAAGATGAAAGAGTGAATTATAATTCCTTAAAGTACCCTACATTTGCCCCCAACAACGATTATAAGGCAATTCACCCCAACCCCGTCTGCTTTGCGCGATGTCTGATAAAAATCGTTTTTTAATAGCAAGAATAGTTATTTGTTTCATTAGTACAAAAAATGTCAGTTTTCGGGACGAGGAAGATAGTTGCTGGACGACGCGTCAGCGGAGTCCAGCAACCTTCCGAGTCCCGAAAACGCATTTTTTGTACGAATAAAACATAAAATTTTTTCTCCAACCCCCTTTACTTCAAATTATATTCGAATTTAGATTCAGTCACAGTTTCACTACTAGTATAAGAACATCTGCTTTCTTGTTCTCACGTGTCATGCCACTCTAGTTTTTAGGTTAACTTATAACCTATTCGTTCTTACTTCTTACTTCTCACCTCTCGTGACTTTGTAGGGAGCAAATCTTGAGGTAGCATGTTCTGCCGTTTCTATAATCTCTGGCGGAGTGCAATCCATGTCGCTATCAGTTTCAGTCATTTCTAATGCATACACAATTAATATTGTTATATTTTGTATTGAAATAAAAAACTTACCATACAGTTTTTTAATTAAAATTAATTGCAATTAACTTTTTCAAATTTTGAATTCAAAATGACAGATAATAGTGCAATGTGTCTTAAGTAGATGGCGTTACGCGCGACGGCGGGTTGTATACGTATTAAAATTACGTTCACCGAATATGTAAATTACGTTACACATGATTTAAATAAAAATAGCGAGCGTAAATCATTTTCAATACATGTACATACGTATAGGTAACAGCATTATTTGCATTGAATATGCAAAAATATTTGATTTGTATGTATAGAAATATCTTACAACCTGCAATGTAAACCGATGTCAATGTGACATATCTCCGTGATTGTAATTTTTTAATTGGTCAACTTTCAAGGTCAATTTCTTTTTGGTACTAGGACCAAAAGTATCCACTTTTTGTACAGTTGCCATGGTGAAAGCGATTAATCCGCAAAACGTCAATTTTACGTACCGAACACCGTCACAAAATAGCGTCTTATTCAGGTGGTTGGAGAAAAACAAGATTTAGGTAGAAATCTTAATCAACTCTAGCAGTCACGAGCATAAGACGTAATCCACCTCAAGTTCCGAATGAAACAATTTTTCGCGAACATCAAGATCCTCCGTTTATAATAAAAATAATTTTTTGATATTGATAAAAAGTATGAATTTTTGAAGTGCTCCCGAATTCTAATAAAAATTTGTTCAGATGTTGAAAAATCCAAATTTATAGGTACAAACCAAACACAATTTCTTAATCGACCATACCTTTAGCCAGTGAAAACAATCATAAAACGTAATCCACCCCGCTCCTAAGCAAACAATTAGCTTTAAAGAATTTACTTTCGCCTTACGGGCGGTTTCTAATAATAGATCTTTGATGACAATTTGGATCGGGGTGGATTACCTTTTATAATCATTGGAGGGGACTAAAGCATACTGTAATCTCTCGATATTTTATTATAGGGGGAGTTGCATACTCTTGCCGGAATGCTAGTTTTAGGCAAGTCAAATAAATTAATATCAATTTGGGCGAGTCTGCTCTGCTATAACATTCAGATCCAAAAATTGAAGGATGAACGGAATTGGTAAATAAGGTATGATTATGAAGACAGCTCGGCCCGCAAGTTTCCGACGTTGGAACCTTTCGAATTCGTTCGAGTAAAAGGTCAATGCACAAAAACACTTGTTGCATAAATAATGCATTCTACTATTCTTTTAGTATAACGGTAGATCATCACGGGCTGGCATGGTTAGGTAATATGGAAGAATTCATTCATCTAAACTTTGTCAATTTGTGTAACAACGACACACTGTAGCAAATAGGAGTTGTTGCTTTCCAAAGTGTTTACAAATGGGCACGCGATCGTTTTCTAAATTTATGTTTTCCTTATTGATTTGCTGCCAATTTGAAAGGATTTTCTGGATCCTTTTCTATATTTATAATGAAACAGTGTAGTAATAATGAACTCAAATTTCAAAGTGAGCAGCAAAATTTCGCCAGATATTAATGTAGAGTCAATGGCCTCACAGTCGTAAAAAAAGGGGTTGGAAATTGAAAAAATGATTTGAAGAGAAACACGCGTCGCTGTTTACAGGCATTTTCACTCTCCCCCCAATAACCAAATTGAATAACAAAAACACGTAATTAGACCCCGAAGGGCTTTTGCTTTTACCGCCTACTAAGGTTCATACGATACCCACAAAATGGAATTTAATTAATTACGATGGGAATTCATAATAAGTGCCGAACAAACTAAACTTGTAGGGCCGAATAAACAAAGTAAGAAAAAACTTGGATTAATACGCGCGATCAATATATGAAAAAAATAAGTTTTCTTTACTCACATAACCTATTGAGTATAATTACAAATCGCACCTTTTGTACATCCTCTGAGCCATTGTCACTAATTACGTTTATTTTATTATTATAATCCCAGGCGATTAGAAATCGTAAAGTCTACAAACTTAAATCACAATTAGTACTAATTGAAAAAAGAAGATTAAGTAGCACAAAAGGGCAAATAAGTACCGGCTGAGTATCCCGAGAGCGTGGTAGCAACCACCAGCGTGCAAGAACCCGCAAACCCGTATTGATTGAACCCTGGCGCGCCGGCCTGACTCCACACGCGAAGTAAGCGCGTGCGTTTCACCTGCTTTACCTGTCACCTATGCTCACGGGACAATATTAAAAAGAAGAAGGTCGTAGTTTTGTGCTGTTCCCCATATTTATTACCTACCCAAAAAAGTGCGGCGAAGATTCATCAATTTTACTTCAAATGAAACACAAAAAAAAAGAAAGGGCAACACGCCAATAATCCTAAGGGACTTCCCGTAAAATACCTGCAATAAATTAAGAAAATATTGACATCCTTTAAGATCCATTAAGGAAATTACGTTCCAGCGCAATTGTAATTTTCTAACCGGTTGATTTTTCGAGATTTATTCCGTTGTCTGTGGATTTCCCATAGTAAATACTGTCCTTTCCTAAGATAACATATCCGTCAAACTACGTGCCTGGCGGATCCTGTAGAAGGGTGAATAAATTATATACTTTCAAGTCGATTTTCGCCTTTCACGAAGTTACCTACATTTGTTATTTCTTGCAAATTTAGTAACTTACAAAATTGACTTCGAGCGCATCATTTTTGGGTTACTTTTACCATAAAACAATCTCTAAAATCTCAAATTGAGCGGTAGGGCAAGTAAAGTCATTAATTTGACGGTCAATACTGATACAAAAAGAGATTTGTAAAATGCTATCACACTCAAAACTCGTGGACTTATTATAAATGAACTGTGATGAGCGAATGACAATATGATTTTGTTATAGCAGAGCGAAGAAAAAGAATCCTTTGGATTAATCTCAATAAATCATCAACGGTCCATTTTCAAATTAAATGTATCTACAATGATACAAGCACTTTGAGTGCACTTTCCAAGTTGGATGCTGTACCTAAATGCGCCATACCATCACTCGCTCATCACAATCGAGAATAGTCTCTAAAGGGCACATAATAAGCAAATGCCATTTCTAATAATAAAAAAATACAAGTTTGTTACCCCCTCTCATTTTTGCACTGTACTGACATAGCTTTGTAGTAAGTAACCTCGACCTTCTCAATTTGTATACCAAATTACCACAATGTCCTAGATCCAGTGGGATTGCATGGGTTATTATTAAAGATGAAGATTAGGTTAAACGAGCGAAGTGTTACAGTTTTAATAGTGCCGTTCAAAATTCCGTTTAGATAATTTGAAAATACGTACCAGATTAAAAATCATGAGTTTCAAAAGGTTAAATTCGAAGAAGTGGAAAAATCTGAACTATCCCAAAAATTATTCGTTGAGTTCTAAATATTTGAAATGCCTGAATAAAATCCCAAGAGAAAAGAAGGGAGAATCCAAAAGGTCTTGGTGAAAAATGTAGAGAATCGTTATAAAGTATCAGGAGGGAGCTTTAAGAATATGATAGAAGAATCATTAAAATCCGAATAATCGCATGGCTCCGAAGAAGATGAAGAATCGAAAGAATTTGAATAAACTAAAGCACACAACTGAAGTATTCGAAGTGCACAATCCTAAAAATATAAAAAAATCATTGAAACGAAAGAATTTGGCAGGTTTTAAGAAGCTAAAGAAATCGAAGAATATGAGAACGTTTAAGAGTCGAATTGGAACAAACGAGACATACCAGAAATTCATTTAAATATAGACACGCTACCACCACAGTGGTCTAACTAAAGAGCCTGATGGTTCTGCTGGTTCAAATCCATATGCGAAACTAGAAAAGTTAAGTGGCAATAGCGTCTTCATTCAAATGTTCGACAGGCGACTTCAACATGCTTATAGAAATTATAGTAGCATTGAAGAGTGAAATGCATAAACCCGAAATTTCTTACCATATCCAACAAACCGGAGGTGTACGCATTGTTTTGATGAAAATTGTGCAGGAATTTTATTGAATAGAATCCCGTGCTGCCAAATACCTACCCGAATTTATGACTATTGGCTTACAGCACAAGAATGTTAAGAATGTAACTACCACAATTGAAATTGTATTTTCCGCACCTAGACGACTTTTATCGTAAAGGAGACAATATGTATTTTCTGAAATCATATTTAATTTTAATTTTGCGAGGTAAGTAAAGGAAAAGCGTTCCCTCGCTGCCTAGGCCATAAATTCAATAATGTTGGCTATTTCAGGCAACGCCCTTTTCAATCATTGAAGGTAGATTTGAAATATGGGGAAGCCGTCGTTGAAAAATACAAGTCAATTTTATCAATGTCATATGAAGCTCCTTCTCAATTCAAGCTTATTACTTTCCCCTTTTTCATCCGCGTTCGCTCCCCTTTTATCTCCTAGAGGAAAACTAGGTGAAACGTCATCTACTCGCCGATCGCCTTTATGTTTCCAGACGTGAAAAACTCGGACGGTATTGCAACGTATATACATTTCGGGCGCCGGCGATTAACCGAAAATTCCATTTAGTCACTAATGAAAAATCTTTATTGATCATCAAACTCCACGGTGCGAATTTTAAATAACCATTTCGCGACGCGACAATTGCGTGGAAAATATTTTTTCCGTAAGCGAATGATTAAATTTTAATCAAATTCATTTCTAGGTGATCAATGATGGGCACTATCACCACACGGTAGAGTTTGCCAACTTTTAGAAACTGTACGCTTATTCGAGTGTATTCTCTTATAACAGTGTTAAGACATAATTACCCCAAAAATAGCAGACGTTCCCGATCGCTTACACGATTATATTTTGAGCGTGAAATTTCGGGAATCGCACAATCCGGTAATTGAATTACTGTCTTAGTAAACACTTACTTCTGTTAATTATTAACAATCTACTTACATCTCGGATTTCTTTAATTTTCGATCCTCCTTTTCCAATGACACATCCCGCCTGGCTTTGATGAATCATCATGCGAAGATCCAATTCGTCTCCATTAATACGTCCTCCATTCTAAATAAGAAAAAAAGGTAAATAATTGCATTCTACAATTATATTAGATGGAGGGTATAGACAGTAACAGACACCTTTGTTGATTGTATTTCTGTTAGGAAGTAGGTTTCATAAACCTCCACTCATTGCAAAGCTAATATTTACAGGGTTTAATTTAGATGCGGTTTGGGTAAACGCTTAGGGAAGTTTATAATGTGGATAGAAAATAGGAAATTACAAACGTGTTTCTAGTTTCTATATAAACCGTTGAAAACGTTCATCAAGTCGTAAAGTGGCAACTACTTTCCTTGCGAAGTTTTACAATAAGTTCTCTAGTTTCACAGACGAAGGTTAATTAGCAACCTTACAACCCGAAACTTGTGATCGCTAAGAAACAAGTTCCCTCATAAATTTCGTGTAGGTGCCTCTTTTGGGGTGTCGTCGTTAAACGACTCATGTTACTATAAACACCCTTTTTGCGTAAAATTGGTAATTAACCAATACCAACGTCCGATTTACTTTTTAGTGTATAAAAAAACTATCCACATTTCGCAATACACCACAGGTTTGGATTGGTTTGTGTGGTCCCAACCGGTACCGGAAGCGGAAAATTAAGAAAATCAAGGAAATTTATTAAAACATCAAATAGCATACGCTACTGTGGAGTGATAAGGTTTCCCACATAAGAAGAAAATCGACAGAACACCGTAAGAATTACGAAAATAACAGATAAAGCCGTCGAATTCGCGCCAGTTGCAGAGCAAGGCGAAGAGTGCACTTTCAAAAGATTGACTGATCACTAAATATGCTTAAGTAATAGCCAAACGTTATTCCGCAGAAATTACTTCTCACCCCTCGAATTAGTTCCAATATTAAGTGTCTGCATATCCATCGGGAAGTTATTTTGGTAATCTTCAGAGTGATGATTCTTGAATTTTTGATGTAGATATCTACACCTGGCGTATTCCGTATATTTTTTATGAACGTAAAGGGTAAAAGTGGTACTCATGCAAAGATGGCGTGTTTTGAAGAATTTGCAATGTATCAAATGACTCAAATAGAAAAAATTCGTTAAGCCGCTTGTGAGCAAGAGGCGAAGTGTGCACTTTCAAATTTGTTTTTTCGATTTTAATAGCCCTTATGGACATTTCATGCCTTAACGAGAATACAAACATGAAATAATTTTTAATTTCTGATCAAATGGCACCAATACCAAGTGGTGTAGTTCCGGAACCTTTGTGACTCAGACAGACATACAGACATGAAGAGCGCAAAAGTGCAGCTTTTATTTTTGAAAGTGCACTAAAAAATTCAACACCTTTTTAGGCGGGTTCAGTGACGAGACGAGGCGTACGACATTTTACAATTCGACTGATGAAGAACGGTTGAGATCAGCAAATATGCCGAGAAGGACGTGAGAAAGCAATTGTAGGCACACTTTGTACATCTGTGCAACAATGATTCTTTCGAGCATTTTTTTTGCAGTTTAGCGATCATGTAAAGTACACAAATTTTCAATGGAAAATAATTGTTTCTATTGGACGTATAAAAAATAATTTCCAAACTTCAGAATGAGAAAGTAACTTCCACCAACCATAGTCCCCGTCGTCGACCCCTTATTGTAATCGGTAATAATTCCTTATATCTTTAAGAGCGGATTCTCGGAGGAGAGTACTTACAAACGACGATTGTGACGTATGAGAAAAATATACCCCTTGGTGATGTCAAAACTTGCACTGCGAATATCTCGAAAATGGAATCTCACAAAGAGCTATTGAAACATCTGGACTAGGCCTATCTAATGGTAGGGTCAAAACTTTAATTAAAGTGTGAATATGTCGGGAACGGAGTGTCCGAAGATGTTACTTAACAAAGAGCGATAGTAGGGGTGTTAATTAAACAAATATGCTTTATCTGCAAAAGAGTTGTGCACAATGTTTACTTAGGTTTCATCTCCAAATTGAATTTTAATTAGCCATTTTTTAAAGTTTGGCCGATTGCCTTGGCGTCAAGTCAGCACTTTAACTAAAACATTTCATCTCCTTTCTACACTTTTACCTTGCCAATTTTTTAAAAATAGATGCTTTTGAATTAACACTTGATCGGGTGAATTGCAATTGCGAGTTTCCTCAATGCTTTCTGAAATATAACCAATTTGTACAGTGTGCCCTATTTTTGATGTCCAAACTGCGGTGTAGTTGGTATTTTTAATGCAACACCCTGTATATCTTAAAGCATTCTTTATCCTTATTACATTGATGCATCACAATCTATATTCTATATATCTATATCTATATAAATTTTAGCCATGAACCAAAAATAAAAATCTAATTTTTCAATCATCACTGCTCCAGTAGGAAAATGGGCAATATATTCGGACTCCTACTTTCAATTCAACAAAAATCGTCTAAGAATGTTATTATTTGTGTCGTAAAGAAGATTAAAAATGTTTCCACTTGTTGTCCCTTAAAAAAAAAGTTAAAAAAGCGTTTCCACTGCGAGTGATTTTGTATTGGTGCAGAATATTTAGGTGCCATTAATGGCAATTTAGATGTGATTGTGGTGATTTTGTTGGCTATCTAGCAATCACTGGATTTTATGATGAGAGAAGATTTCGGACGAGAAGCGCCAGCAATCACGAATCATCGAATAATCAAGTTAACCCTTTTCCAACAAAAATGGTGCATAAATGACGATTTTCTCATCTTTTGAACAAATATTTCCTTGTCGATAGAAAAATGTAGAAATGAGTTTTGCTATCGAAACCATTTTTGTTGTGCAATTTATTAGGTCAGATGTTTTGAGGTGGTTAGAAGGAAATAAATTATGCTATAAATACCGGCGAGGGAGTGCTAAAAACCCCCGAAACAAGGAGTGTCGCTATGTGTAAAGTATTCAATTAACACCGTTACTATATTATTCCCCAAGTTGTGGAGGTAGGCCAGTCGTTTCATTAGTATTAACATCAAAACGCAAGGGCTGTATAAAAATAACCCTTAGAGATGGAAAAATATGGCGATCGGTGTCAATTAGTCCTTTTCTATTCGGAGTAGGTACTTTGTTGCCGAACGCTAGTCTGATGCAATTACAGTAATCGATTTTTGGAGTTCATTAGTGTTTCAATTATTAATATCTGACCTCTATGCGGTTCGGACTACGGAATTACAAACTATCGATGTGACATTTGATTATAATCCTCGTGTCAGTCCAACATTAGAATTGGTCGTCGTTGTCCATATCGATCTGCACGATATTTCCCCGAACTTCTCTTTGTATATAGTGAGTGAGGAAAAACCGATGGACAATTTCCAGAACCTAAAAACACGTAAAAGCATTTCGATGAACCGATGTTACGTACTCCATTTATTATTAATATCGCATTTCAAATTACGGTCGATAATTGGCAATGGAAGTTCACAGACTGGCGCCACCATATCTGAGACAAAATTCTCCCTTATGTAAATTATTTCACGTGCTTAATTTGCGAGGTAAGCCGACCGAGTTCAAAGTTGAATGTGCACGTAGGGTTGTAATGATTCAAGATATTTTTTCTAATTACAACTACGTGCACTTTCTACTACCACGCTACCTCCTTCGAATGAATGAGGGGTTCATTCTAAACAAGATCAAAAGGAGGGTGGTACGCACTAGAACATGAAAAGTTTCGCAAAATTTTATTTTATCGATTAAGAAAGTAATATATATTCTAATGGGGAAGTTTTTAAGCAGTCCTGATCATTATTCCAGGCCGTGACCCAACTAATTTAAATTAAAAAGTGACAAATAATTTACCTACCAATAATTTTAATGAATTTAACAGAATTACAATCAACTCCGTCAATATTTGAGCTAAGGAAGCAATTATTATACTTACTTCTTCCAAGTTGGGAATAACGTCATTAACGATATTGCAGACGGTGTCCAGATCGGATGACAGAGTCAACATTCTGTAAGCAAAAGGTAGTTAGTAAATGCGTAAGGATTACGTTGAAAGTGGGAAGGGGTGAAATTGCCCTCACTGATAAAATTCTAATGAATCACAAACGGGAAAAGACTACTTCATTTCGTCAAGTTTGCGCTAATACTGGCCATCAATCAGGATAAATCGGACGGCTCAGTTTTCAGGGCAGTATGTAGGAGGACTTTGATTTTGTGTAAAGTTGTAGGTCTACAATTTAAAATGGTCTACTTAGGAACTTAAAAACCATTTCGAAATTTGCGCAATTTCGAAGTGGTTCTTAAGTTTAAAACAAAAAAAATTAAGTATGATTTACAGTTAACATCAACGAAATTAATCCTCAACCTAAGGCAAAGCAATTAATTTGAATAATTAATAAGAGCTCTAGGTTAAGGGGGTCCATTTGGAATGTCCTAACGGGACATGCCGGCGTTAGACTGGTTGCACCGCCATTAAAAGTTAATTAGCACTACTATAGTTATTATTGTATAAACGGCATGGGGTTGACGGATTTAAGCATAATATATTTATATGCAGTGCAACCAGGGCCGGATTGAGAACATATTAAATAAGAGTGGAATTCATTTTACCGTTCTGGGCCCGGACAGTCAGGGACAGTAATCGAGGCTTTGTACTGTGGTGGGTCGTTGTGTGGCCATGGCAAATTTCAATCAATGGCAGTTGCAATCAATGGTGAGCGAGCGGGTGGGCAGGTGGGCCGGGCCGGGGCAGAAGACATTAGTTAACATAAATGTATATTGATAAACGCTGTAATCTTAAATATACAAGACATGGGCTTGTGCCAGTGACAAAAACCACGGGCACGGGCTCAGGGGTCCTTTCATACACGTTAGTACATTGTTTTGTTTATACTTACATAATACTGACAAACGGAAAATAATTAAAACAAAGAAATAAAAGCAATACATATAATATTAACGAACAAAATAAGCAAAATCAACATAAAACCCAAAAACTCCTTGAAACAAATTAATATTATATGTTTGCAAAATTTACGGTAGGGCTTGTTCAAAAACCTAAAACAAAAGAAATTGAAAAAAAACTATAGAAGCATATTAAAATTAAACCTAATTAACATTACAAATCAATATAAGTAAATTAAATTATAAGCCAATCAACATTCAGCACGATTACGAGGGCTAATTCTGTGTCCCAACTTAATTAGTTACGTTAAATCTCCTTCGTATGTACAATATTCGAGATTATTGATGGGAAAATTAGCGAAATGACGTGGTTCAAAATGGAAAGGTGCTGTTATCCTTCTGTTATTTTGCTGTTAAACGCATCCTTACACCTCTCCTATTGCATGATTAATAAGGTCAAATATTAATTAGGCGGTTATAAGAAATTGCAGTACGAGTTGAAGCGCGAGAACGAAAAAAAATAATTTTAATAAAGTCGAACCTATAATTTTATTGCCTCGAGAAATTTCCGGAGCAGAACCTAAACTGAACGATTCTGTTTAATCTCCGAAGAGATTTCGCGAGCACTTTCTATTTACATTGTTTGAATTTCTATAAAATCTCTTTTACAAGGTAATCTCCCTAACTCGGTCTTTGAAATGCGAGGTTCTCTCTTTTTTTATTTACCTTATGCCTAGTTAATAATTTCGTACAATGCATAATCCAAAAAGTACAGGAGTTTCCGTGCTCTAATTAAAATCTTAATTTCGTTGCTACGAATAAGTGGATTATTATTTCTCGGTACTGCAATTTATACAACACAAATTTACAGAAAGCAACCATCTTCAACTGGTGCTGAGCCTGTCAACGTTACAGTGTTAAGAGAAACCGATCCTTTTTTGATAAGGGATTTTATAACATTTTCCAAATACCATAATTACAAGGTGAACCAGTTTCAACTAATTTTTGGAAAACATTACTATCCACCAAAGCATTATTTCTATAGGATACTGACCTGGCTTCTTAGCTTGGTTATATTTTGACCGCCTTTTCCAATAATGGCACCAGCCACCTAAAAAGAAATTGCAACGTATAATAAGTGCATGTTTAATTTGCCAAGTTTTAATTATTTGTATTGTAGTCTCCTTTTTTGTTTTAAATTTTCATGGAAAGTTTTGTCGTTTCCTGTCTGAAGCAGCTGCGTGTCGTTTATGCAAATGACATCAAAATTGCACAACGACGACCTTTTTAAAAAGAATAACGTTTCTGTGACATGCTATATCAGGGGGTGTATATATGACGTGCTTGATAATTCTGTGGCGTCGCCACCGATGGCGACGTTGTTCTAAGGGTGAATTGCAAGCGAACTTCTAAACTTCCGGCATGACAAGCAATATATTTCATTGTGCTGCATTTAAGAAACCACACTGAATTTATGCAGCCTAATCAAATATTGAAATTTGGGCAAACATCGCAATGCACTGACGAAAATGGCGGCTTTAAGCCGTCAACAATATCAAAACCGAAAAGAATCTTAAATATAAAAAGTACAAATACTGAAGAAAACGTAACAACTGAAAACAAACAAGAAAAATGAGAAATCGTGACTCTACATCTTGATACCATCAAAAGCACGATCCCGGCAACAGCGTCGTTCGTTTTCAAGCTTAAACTTATTTTCCTTCCTTCGCTTACGAAAAATGAAACCGAAAATATGTACCAAAAAGCTTTGGTTTCGTTAAACAAGATTACATTATAAAGGTCTTGAATTCTTGTGACATCGAGTTCCTCTCTAATGGGCCAGTTTAGGACTCGCGAGGATTCGCAAATAAGATTAATGGAACAACATAAAATAGGTGACACGCTAATATGATATATTTCCCGAAAATATATCCAAAGAAATTCAAATACGGCTCGACTGCTTTTATATTCCCATGAAAAATCAAATTTGTGTTTCTTGTAAACGAGAACACCAATATAAATATAATGGCTTGAAAGTTTTGTAATTAACTGTAACGATACGAATGGATCAAAGCAAGTTTCGAACAAACGGTTATTAATTGAAAGCATCGACGTAAGAACAAAGGTAGTGAAACTATCTAGGCGAATTGTAGATCGTGTAGATCTACCTACACCATGTACCAAAACGTTCTTAAAGGGAAGTTAAGAAGCGTGGGTTAAACTCTGCCACCAGTTTGTACGCTACACTGCCCCCTCCTTAAATTATTGTCTCGCGACAAGTTTATCAGCCTAGTGGTAATGAGTTCGTTCCCGGTTTCTGCGGCGCTACAAACACTGACTGTTACTCATCGTTAATGAAGATGAAATAATCGACGATCTTTGATGCGTTATTGAAACTGCAGACTAATCTTTCCACGACGGTGGAACTTCAAGTACATTGCAAATATATCTCGAGATGGTCGTTTTGATATCGCTAATCTTGTCCAGACGTTGCAATCGCCCTCTCTCCCGATACTCTGTTCTCGAGATCATTTGAAGTTTTGACACCACTAACCAAAGCGTATAGGCCCGGATTAACCAATTTCCCTTTGCAAGTACTTCCTTCCTACACTCACTTCTCGAGATATTCGCGTTTTATGTCGTGTTCCACCATTGCTAGGGATCTTGGGGAGTAGTAGGTTGACTGCAGTGATATTTGCATACTTGGACACGGACATTAACTGTATAAGGGGGCATTACATTTAAGGAATTAACAAAGTGATAAGGGTAACTACTAGCGAATTCAATTATTTAAGAGTGTTTTTGTAAACATGACATTGCCGACGAGAACGGTTTTTTGTACCTAACGATTATGTAACCCATTGTGCGCGGTAAAAGAATAACGTTTTTGTGAGCGTTTTCGTTGTATATTTTGCCGCTCATCCTGCAAGTGCGTGCCTGGTTTAATGCCTAAACATGCCAAATAGCGAAGTGGGTTTAGTCCAAAATCCAAACATAGTTCCCTATCAGAGCAATATGGATTAGATTGATTAGAATAGCGTCTAATACCTGTCCATTTGATCCTGCGAGCTTGCTGTGCTGTCAGAGTCAAAAGCAAGGTAATCTGGTTATTGTCTGCCACCTGGCACTCTCGCCACGTGCAGAGGTCCATCTGTGTATCTCCCACGAGAATTATTTTTCCTTTTTGATTCCAACATTGTACCGTAGACAGCTAGCAGTTAGATCAGACGTTCTAGTTACCCTTTAAATAAGAATTATTTTTCTCCTTATCGCATTTATCATAGGCGAGATAAGAATGTGTTATGCACCAAAACAGAATGCAGCATTAACATTTTGATTTAGTTCAAGTACCGTCTATCTGTAATTATGTCTATTCTTTCCAATCCTTCATTAGCCATGGATTCATATTGTGTTGGATTGTGCTTGCGCAACGAACTTTAAATTCAGTACGGAGGTTCATTTATACCTATTCTCAACACTGCTCCTTTATCTTTTTGATAGTTTGGCGTTTTTAGGCACAGCAGAATTAATGGCGCCCAACGTGGGGCAAAAAATGTATTCCATTTCTGATAATTTCTGCATTTCTTTAATGAAGTTTTCGCATTATTCCGAGTATCATCATTAGAGCTTTGGGGGCTCAAGAAAAGACTTACAGTTAAAATTCAAGGAAAAATTACCTAGTGACAGAAAACAAGTTGAAAACTTACAGAACGATCACTTAAGCTTGCAAAAAAACCGTATATCTTTATTGTACTTATGTGGGAACAAAAATTAGCATTTAAATTGACAAATATCTCTATTCAAACTGTCACATAACTAATACGAATTTCCCAGACATTTCAATTTTATTTTTCCATCCTATGGAAGCAGAAAAACATTAGTTTTACATTCGAGAACGGATCTTCAATTTCCGACACGCAAGCTTATCGAACTTTTATTTTTATAACGTACTTTTAGATTACTTAGTATAACTACATCATATTTTTCAATCTTTCCTTCACAATCTACTTCCGTTTACTAGATGCGATACACATTTATCTTGAATTTAAATCTCATCTTCTACGGGCCAAGTGGCTTGAGCGGATCCGTAGGTGAAAATTCAAAAAAAAATCCGCGCAAACAGGACAGAAATTGATTGCTAAAGTTCGGCAATTTGTTCTACAATGCAGTAAATGAGGGGGAGAAGTGTTTCTTGAATTTTGTAACATCAGACGTGAACTTAAGATTAATTAACTGAAATAAATTACTTACTTTGCTGGGAATTAATATACGAACTTCCTCATCGCCACGGCGAGAGCGTTTGAATGGAGCACCCATGTCACCATCAGCTTCCCGTTTCATGTCGGATAATTAATAACTGAAACAAAATCGTAAGTTAAACAAAGCGTTCGGCAACGTATAAAAGGCCACTCGAATTAAGAAAATGACGAGTAGCGCATTTAATCATAGTAGAAAATTGTCAAGTAAAAGTGTTGGAAAATGGCCAAAAGTAAGCAACTTAATTCGCCATGAGCGATTCACTTAGCTTTTGTTATTTATTTTTAAATCACATTCGGATTTGTTCATTGAGGAAAAATTCACCGAATTTTTAGCACAAATCGACTTTCTATTCGTGACACAATACGATATGATCACACCACTTTCTTTAATTTTTGAAAACTATAATATAATGAAAGGCAAGACAGATATTAAGACGTTTTTCTTCGGCATTAACCTAAATTAATGATAATTGAAGTAGAAGTTAATTTCGTTAAAGCTTTAAATTATACAAACGCAACTCGCACGCACTGCGCGTTACCTCAACATATACCGTTTGCATGCATAAATATTTATTTGGGTTAATCGCCCAGCATTCTTGTGCATACCTTCAAATTTCCACATGCAAAACGAGAAATGTTGTCTGCGTTCCAAGAAAAAGTGTGGAATAATCGCGCCTATTCAACTTTGATCTTGATAACTATTGCCATTTGCCAAGGCTAGTCGTAGGTAAAATGTCATTGTCCCAATTTTTACACAATTGCGCAAACTGTGAAAAAGTGCGTGTCGAGATAGCAAACGATTTCGATTAAAATTACTAAAAAGTTTAAATTACTGGACGATCTCTCATTAGTTAAGTGGACCAATTTTCCGGTTTTCCTTTTAGTTTTTCTTTTCATTTTCCATTTGTTCATTATGAAATCAAATTTGTTTTCGAATTTCGACTACAATGTAAGGCTTCTGAATTCGTATAACAGATCTTTGACGGAATTCAGTCTGAAATATAACGGCTTGATGAAAACACGTTTTCTTTCAGCACACTTAAATGAAAATCCTGTGCAATCCTTATTCATGTATCAGTTTCCCAATCAGTGGTATGTGGGCTTAGCCGTCGTTTTTTCCCTGCGACTTAATGAGCAATTACAAAGATCTTACAGTGACACAATCAGTTGGGCAATAAACGAACGAAGAAGACACAATAGCACTTTTTTATCTTTCGAAATACGCCAAAATCAATACAATTTTCACAAATTCGTCCTCGGGCTCTTCCTCCAAAAAATATACTTTGCAAATCGACATAGAACCTCAACTTGGGACAAGAACTGTTTTGGAACCGGAAGTGTCAGTTGGTCCAATTATTTACGCTACACGATCAATCCAAATTAACAAAAAATTATGCAACTTTTCAATACAAATTAACATTTTGTTGTGTAAACGTCATGTAGACGTTACTTGGGTCTAAACACCAAAAATAATGACGGGACACCGTGTATATGAGAACATTTCAATTTATTAGGTGTATATGTGGGGGAATGTTTACGAATAAGCACAAAGTTGGTTTATTGTACTTGAATTTGTCTCAGTGTTGTTTTTCCTTTCAGAAGTGTTGTAATTCCGTACTATTTTCTGGTTTAAATTTTGTCGCATTTATAAATTGTTTATTTAACTTGTGTATTTAACTGTAAAACGTGAATTTCCTACTGATCGTTTGCGATAAGAAGTTTTTATCGGACGAAATTTAATAAACGCAGAGATAGAGTATTTCGAAAAATTGCAAGTTATTTGCGGCGTAAGTGGGGACGCGTTCCTTCAAAGCTGGCGTTATCAAGTGAAAGTGGTATTCCCTTAAATATTGGACTCAAACGATAAATTAAAATGCCTACGCAGATACTAGTAGGTATGTAAATCGATCGCATTCACTCTTTTCCTAATAGCTCGAATTTTGAACAACGTACTACGCAAAACAGCTTCAGAAATAAAAATAAACTATTTCAAACCAATAAAGACAACGAACGACAAACACAGACGGACGGACAGAATGACCAAAATTTAATCAGTTAGTCCTTTGACCACTGTTTACCATTTACTCAAAACATAATTGGAAAATTCAAAACCGTTCGGTGCTAATTAAAGTGCCCTGGCAGAAGATGTAATAATTTTAAAAAAAGGAGCATTTAATTCGGGAATAAGGCGCTTAATTAGCACCTAATTATAGTTAGTTCACTTTTCATTTTCTTGAGCTTTAAAGGTAGTGCTCTGATGAGTTCATATGCACCTCGCAGAACATGTAATAATTAAAAAAAAGGAGCGTTTAATTCGGGAATAGGGCACTTAATTATAGTTAGTTCACTTTCCATTTTCTTGGGTTTTAAGGGTAGTTTCTGCTGAGTTCATATGAACCTGGCAGAACATGTAATAATTTAAAAATTTTTTTAAAAAAGGAGCACTTAATTCGGGGATAGGGCACTTAGCACCTAATTATAGTTGGTTCACTTTTCATTTTCTTGGTTCTTTGAGGTAGTGTTCTGCTGAGTTCATATGAACCTGGCAAAACATGTAATAATTTAAAAAAAAAGAGCATTTAATTCTGGAATAGGGCACTTAATTAGCACCTAATTATGCAATATGTTTGATTGTGTTCTGCTGACCTTGCTCTGTTAGATTCATGGACATTAAATTTCCCTGATGTAGGTTATGTGAAATGACGTTCTAGTGGGATGCAACACTTGCAAGAATAGGCGTCTTGCTTGGGAATTAATAGCTTACCTTCTGCCCTTAGGAGAGAATGGGAGTGAAGACGTAACTGAGACAAGTTAGCCTAAGGATATCAGACTTTTTTAATTAGATGTATAATGTCTCCACTTTACTGTTCAGTAAATTCGCTCTGTTTACTTTAATTGTCTCTTCTCATTGACAACGAAAAAGACAAATGGAACGCAACAACCAAACAAAGCAGCTCGTGTCATAATTTCATTAGTAATTAATTTTCTGATTTAAAATCTGTTGGCAACTCGTTATTTTCAGTATCCCCTACAAAAAATTTATGTAGGCTCCTTCGTATGCACACCCAAAAGTCCATACACTACCTTTGATTAAAAAATCCCTTTCAGCTCGGCCGATCACGTGTAGGTAATTTCTTTCCGCCATTTTGCACCAATATGGAGAAATTGGCTGATTCACAAACTTGACAGATATTTATGAGTTACACCAACCCTTAAACTTTGGTCGAAATCGGTTCATAATTACGAAAGTTAGAGTGTTTCTTGGAAGTGATAAATATACTGGTACCATTACAATAGGTAGATAGAAATCGACCTAAACATTGAGTAAAGAAACACGAAAAAACTTGGTTACTTATCTAATTATTAACTTTGTTACTACTTAAGAGTATAACATTTAAAACTGTATCGAGTGTAATAGACGAGAATGAATTGCTATTGTATGCCCCTCAGGATTTTTTTTTGTGACTTTTTCCCTTGTCTATTTAACTCCAAGTACCTAAAGATTCAAAGGGAATGAGACATAACCTCCACGAACAACCCCTACCAGAAATAGGTGGATTGGTAACGGTAAAAGGGTACCTGTTCATCTCTAGGACAGGACTAAGCTCTCCTGAACCGTTTTCAGCTATCATCGGGGAAGAACATAGACGCTAGTCCATTCCTTGGCCAATAAGTAGCTTTATTTGTTTGCTGTCTCCGTTGTTCTCGAAATATATTACCCTAATGTCAACTTGTCATTAAACAACGGTCCCGCGTGCACCCTTAAAATTATAAAACTTGCCTTTGGCTTTCATTTACCGCACTTAATCACGCAAGAATGAAATAAAAAATAGTGCACATCGTAAATTGTTCAATGTTCTTATTCGTATATTTAGTTTACGTAATGAAAATTGTCCGATAAATAGAAATTGAAAAAAAAAAACTGTACCTGGTTTACGTTCCTCCACAAATAAAAATGATAATAGGATGAATAGGGCGGAAGCCTTAATTATTGTGACGGGATGAATTTCCATTTCATAATAAAGCTTTTACCCGTAGAGAAAGCCGGGATCTGCCGAAGTACGTATTGATCGTCGAAAATACATCACAAACAGTTTGATTAAATTCACCAGATAATAACCATGTTATTTAATGGATAAACAAATAAACCGAATTTGAAATTCTAGTGGCGTAATAATCCCCCGCGATTTTTCAATAGGAAAATAGCATACAGTGAAAACTTGCCGATTTTCCATTTGGCAATTACGATATTTTAGTTATTCTATTTGACGAAAATCTGTTTAGCGTCTGGGGATAGTGACAACCAGTTCTTACTTCAGAAAAATTTAATGTCAAGAAAATAAATTTGCCACTATTTTTTGTACAATTATTTCAACTCCGATGACAAAAAGCTAAATGTTCTCCATGAATATTCAAGCTTATGATACACAAGGACAAAGAGATGAATAATGGGCGGACGGCGAAAAACGAAAAATTGTAAAATGGCAACCGTCCAAAATATGCACAGCATTTCGGCACATTCAATTTTTAAATAGAAAATTACTCACGCAGGCGCCATGCCATTCGGGTAAACTCAAACTTTTACAAGAACACTTATAATATTCATAAAATTTAAGTTGCCAGCAAATGGCGTTTGTCTAACACGTGTTATTAGGTTCGTTATTTTTAATAAGCAATGCAGTAGGAATTACCGTTGAAGGTATAAAATTAAAACTGCTTTGTTTCCCTTTAAATTTATCGCAATTTACTTTGAAGGTAAACGGCGTCTTGCTTGAAAGTTCGAATTACTTCTAATAAGCTAAAAATCGTTTTATGGATAACGGAAATTTATACGAGCGTCGTCGCGGCGTTTATGTGCATATAAAATGTAATGAAAATATAAAAGAGATTGCAATTTAGAATCATACTTTTAAGAAGTGAAAATTCGCGAAGAAGAAATCCACGGCGTTTTAATTACTCTTTCAGTTTATTTGACTTTCAGATAAGTTGCGGAATTTAGTTAAGAACTTAGTACTAAAAGATATTACTAATTGTCGTCAATAATTAAATGCGGCCTACTGTTTTAATCTATGGCTAGTATCAAAATAATAAACGAGGA